CTGTGGGTCCCAGGGGGTTTGGCCTACAACTCCCAGGAATTCCAGCCAGTTTACCTACTATTAGGATTTCTGGGAGTTGAAGGCCAAAACATCTGGGGACCCACAGGTTGGGAACAACTGCCCTAGAGAATATTTTTAGACATAGTGAGGGCGCAGTTCTCCAAGGTCTTGGGGGGGGGGGCTAATGACCCCCAGTCTTATACAAACCGCAAGTTTAAAAGTGCCTATCTTTCTATGGCCATCTCAAAATAAGCCAGAAGAATTGGCACAATGTCTGTAAGAGCTATGTGATGGGCCATTTTCCACTTAATTGAGATGCCAACTTTTTCATCTTTCTATTTGGTAGTTAATGAATGTGTTCTGCTCATCATCCAGTTGTATTATGTCATCCATAAACTAAGTTAGCAATAGTCATTCGTCTGCTAAGAGGGGCAAATGCAAAAAAGTACACAGTGCATTTGATGTGATCTTGCTCTTCAGTATTTTTTTCCATCAGAGCCAACTAGTTCTTTTCTGGCCGAACCTTTAAAGACAATTTCAAACTAAAATGAGGTGCAAGGCTGCAAATGGATGTTTCCTAAAATGGGAGATGAAAACTAAGAGGGAGCAAAACATTGTGTAGGCAGAGCAACAAATGTAAAATGATTTACTTTCTTTAAAAATTACTTATTTCAGCAGAGTCCCTTATAACTATTTCCTAGTTCTCTAGTGACCAGCCACTCCAAAGTTCACCATGTATAGTCCTTTATCAACTGCTGACAGTAAATCTAGATCCCATCTAACAATTTCAGCATGAAGATCCTGGATATGATTGATAATTTGCATCCAAGTTCTATCAACCTAAAGTACATGGTATATTTCTCCTACAACATTTCTATTCTGAGATACCCATGAAGGGTTGTTTTAAAACCTGTTATGCAGGTGTAGAAATTAAATTAAGTTTTAACACATTTTTTCTCACAGTTTTAAATTACTGTCAAACTTTTAGTTATTGTATTGTCGAAGGCTTTCATGGCCGGAGTCACTGGGTTGTTGTAGGTTTTTTAGGGCTATATGGCCATGTTCTTGAGGCATTCTCTCCTGACATTTCACCTGCATCTATGGCAAGCATCCTCAGCGGTTGTGAGGTCTGTTGGAACTAGGAAAATTGGGTTTATATATCTGTGGACTGTTCAGAGTGAGACAAAGAACTCTTGTCTGTTGGAGCTAGGTGTGAATGTTTCAACTGACCACCTTGATTAGCATTTGATGCCGTGGGGGTTTTTTGGTGTGGCTTGTTAGTGCCTGAGGGAATCTTTGGTTGAGAGGTGATTAGCTGTCCCTGATTGTTTCCTCTCTGTTGTTTTGCTGTTGTAATTTTAGAGGTTTTTTTTAATATTGGTAGTCAGATTTTGTTCATTTTCATGGTTTCCTCTTTTCTGTTGAAATTGTCCACATGCTTGTGGATTTCAATGGCTTTCCTGTGTAGTTTGACATGGTGGTTGTTTGAGTGATCCAGCATTTCTGTGTTCTCAAATAATATGCTGTGCCCAGGTTGGTTCATCAGGTGCTCTGCTATGGCTGACTCCTCTAGCTGAAGTAGTCTGCAGTGCCTTTCATGTTCTTTGATGCGTGTCTGGGCGCTGCGTTTGGTGGTCCCCATGAAAACGAACACAATCTGGCTAAAAGTTTTATAAACTCTAAAATCAGAAGAGTAAACAACATTCAGTAAACAACACTCTGAAAAGAGGGGAATTCCAGACAGGAAACAATCAGGGCCAGCTAACACCTTCCAACAAAGGATTGCCACAGGAAGGAAGCAGCCAGGCTTTGAATGCGAATCAAGCTGGCCAATTGCAACAATAACACTTGCCTCCAACAGACAAAGAGTTCTTTCTCCCACCCTGGACATTCCACAGATATATAAACCCCACTTGGTCAGTTTCCAACAGACCTCACAATCTTTGAGGAGGCCTGCCATAGACATGGGTGAAATGTCAGGAGAGAATGCTTCTGGAACCTGGCCTATACAGCCCAGAAAACTCACAGCAACCCAAGTTTTAACAGTTTCACTTTTAATATCCAAAGAGGTCACCCAATGGAATTCCATGGCAAAGCGCGAATTCAGACCCTGAATCATCTCCAGAGTCATACAATCCATCACTCATCTGCACCATGCTAGCTCTCTATTTGTCAAATATAGAGAACACTAGAGATGGATCTTCTCTACTCCACCATAATCTAGTTTAAACTCCTTCCCCCTTTTCCAATAATCAGACTCACTAGGGCACATGGGAATCTGAGTCCCAAAACATGAAAGGAAGGAGTACAGCCCACTTTATAACTTTTACCAGTAAAAATTTTCTGTCCTAAATTCTGAAATCTCCGATTTTTAGAACTTCCTTTAAAAGTTCTGTCTACACTCCCCCCTCCTTAAAAGGGGGGAGCATCTTATGGGGGATGGTCTCTAAGTTTAGGGTTCCACACTTTAAGTTTTAACAGTGATATTCCATTATCTATGTAAATGTTAACTCGGCCAAATGTATGGACTCCTTCCCAACTAAATTCAGTGTCGTCCATCTCCCCCCAAATATCTACATTTATAAGGGCTTATAATTCAAGGGGGGGGGGTTGCAGCCCCCTCCACAAATGTATATAACCTTAACAAAATTAAAAATTCCAATAATAGAGAGAAATACCACAAAATTGTACGAGGCTTGAAACTCTGTGCCTTGAAAATGTGAGCTGTACAAGGAGTGCCTAACTTTAAAACTGCAATTTAAGATGCAATTTGTAACTCTGATTAAATCACGAGCCTTGTGAGAAAACCAGGCTATTCAAAAGACTGGCTGTGGAAATGGTATAATAAATGTGTTTGCTCAGCCTTCAGATAATCACCATAGCTACTATTAGCTATTAAAGAATGTATACAATGAGGCAGCATTGTGTTGGTCTAGGATCCAAGAGAAATCCCCACCAGGTCACTGAAATCCACTGGGTGACTTTAGGAAAGTCACACTCTCTCAGCCTCAGAGGAAGGAAGGGCCAAATTCCTTCCTCTGAAAATCTTGCCAAGAAAACCTCATGATCTAAAGTTGTCACAAGTCAGTAATGACATGATAACACACAACAACCTCTTGCAGGCTGAAGTATTTCATATTCAGAAATCTGAAATGACCCAAAATTGTCCAAATGGGTGGCTGAAGCTGAAGGCATTAACGGTATTATTTTAAATTTAAAATATTATGGATAAAACTACCTTCAAGATATGTGCCTCATTTATGAAACAGAAATTAATGTTATGTTTAGACTTGAGTCCCATCTCGTAGGTATCTCATTATGGAGGTGTATTCCAAAACTGGAAATCTAAAACGCTCCTGCTCCCAACCATGAATGATTTATGCCCTTCTCACTCTTTTGTATTATTTTAAAGGGACCAATTTTCAATCTGATGTACATTTTGCCTGGCACTTGATTTTTTTACAACTTTTATGCAGGAAAGAGTATAGAATAAATATGATTATTAGAAGCATTTTGTTTGTTCCTCCTGCAGTTTAACATGTTGTTATCCAAATGCTTCCATATTTGTCCACAACAATTGGATTCACAAACAATGAAAACTCAACTTCTCTTCCTTACCTGTCTTTCCCTATAGAGTGAGACTCAGAATTTATCCAAGTCTTCTCCACATTCTTTTAATTGGTCAACTGGTCCCCATGTCACTCTCAGAGCTAAAAGAGAGAGACCAAGTCCTCTCCTCTGTCTTTTAAGCCCACTTGATCACAACTAAGTGTGTAGGACCCTGAATTTATCCAAGTCCTCTTCTCAGGCCCCTTCCACACAGCTGAATAAAATCTCACATTATCTGCTTCAAAGTGGAATATATGGCAGTGTGGACTCATATAACCCAGTTCAAAGCAGATATTGTGGGATTTTCTGCCTTGATATTCTGGGTTATATGGCTGTGTGGAAGGTCTTTTTAACGCAATTGGTCCCTATGTCACTATCAGAAGTGAAAGTGTGGGACCTTGACAAAGTCCTCTCCTCAGTCTTTTAAGCTCTATAGGTCCCTTTGTCACCCTGACACCTAAAAGTGAGGGATATTGGACTCTGGGCCCTTCTACACAGCCATATAACCCAGAATATCAAATCAGAAAATCCCAGATAACTGGATTATCTGAGTCCACACTGCCATATATTCCAGTTCAAAGCAGAAAATGTGGGATTGTATTCCGCTGTGTGGAAGGAGCCCTAGTAAAGTTCTCTCGTTGGTCTTTTAGGGTTTTTCTGATTTGATATTCTGGGTTATACGGCTGTGTAGAAGAGCCCAGAGTCCACACTGCCATATAATCCAGTACAATGTGGATTTTATACAGCTGTGTGGAAGAGGCCTGTGTTACTGTGAGAGTTGCAAGTGTGGGCTCTTGTGCTCAGCTAAGTTCTCTCCCCATTTTTTACAAGATCCCTGTGTCACCCTCACAACTGAAAGTGTGGGATCCTGAACTTAGGCCACTTGTCTCCTCAGTTTTTTAAGTTCAAATGATCCTATATCACCCACACACCTAAACATGTGGGCCCCTGAAAATAGACAACTCCTCATAGGCCCCTTCCACACAACTAAATAAAATTATCTAATTTGAACTGGAATATATGACAGTGTGGACTCAGATAACCCAGTTCCAAAGCAGATAATATGGGTTATTCTGCCTTGATATGGCTGTGTGGAAGGGCCCCTGGTCTTTTAAGCTCTGTCACCCTCAGCCAAGTTCTCTTTCCATGGTCCCTGTACCACCCTCACAGCTAAAAGTGTGGGACCCTGAACTTGGTCAAGTCCTCTTCTGGGTGTTTGAAGCGGAAGGGCTCTCGACGAAAAGTGTGGGACTTTGGGCCCAGGCGAGTTCTCCCCCCCAGTCTTGGAGGGCCAGTTGTTCCCTCATCCTTGGCCTCCCGGGGGCCACGCGCCCACCTCCCTCCCTCTTGCACGCGCCCTCCCTCCCGGGGCAAATGCGCGCGCGACCCACCTGGCTGCTGCTCTCGGCGGGCAGGTTCCGGAGCAGGACCTTGCGCCTGTTGCTCAGCTCCCGATGCATCCCTCGCAGGCGGCGGGAGACCTCCTCCGGGGATAGCAGGGGCTCCCCCGCTTGCGCCCCAACCCGCCCCGTTGCCGCCGCCGACATCGCCATTTTGCCGGCCCGGAGGCGAGGGCGCTTTCTCTCTCTCTCTCTCGCCGCCCGAAGGAGGGAATGGGGCCAGAAAGAGAGAGAGAAAGGGAAAGAGAGGGAGAGGAGGGAGGAAGCCCTCGCCCGCCCCCTTCCCTCTTCTTCCTCTCCCTCCCTCCCTCCCTCGCCCACACCTCTCCTCCGCAGCACAGGGAAGGCAATTCGACACCAGTCGGAATGGCCACGGCTCGAGGCTATCGAATTGGAGGAAAGTTTGCACTTTTACCAGTTCCCTCCCCAAACGGGCGGCGTTTGCATGGCGTTGATTAGTCTGCATCCCAGAGGCACCCAAAGCATCAAGCGGGGCGCATACGCTTCACCTTCGGGTCTCTCCAGCCGACTTTGAAGCGGCTTTGTAGTTTCCTTAGGCAACGCCAACTCAACAATGGCTTTTTCCCAGTTTCCTTCTGAAATATATGTTTGCTGGCGGTCTCTCATCCAATTACTAACCAGGGCTGACCCTGCCTCTTAGGCAGCACACGCTACACCAGGCGTGAGCAAACTTGGGCCCCCCAGGTGTTTTGGACTGCAACTTCCACAATTCCGGCTGTTATGAATTGTGGGAGTTGAAGTCCAAAACGCCTGGAGGGCCCAAGTTTACCCATGTTTGGTCTACACTACAAAGTTAACTCCATTTCAAATATTATTTGTTATAATAACAAATAATAATAGGTTCTTGTGGGTTTTTTCGGGCTATAGGGCCATGTTCTAGAGGCATTTCTCCTGACGGGCTATAGGGCCTCTAGAACATGGCCCTATAGCCCGAAAAAAACCCACAAGAACCTAGTGATTCCAACCATGAAAGCCTTCGACAATACACAATAATATAATAATAATAATAATAATAATAATAATAATAATAAAGAGAAACAACTGGAAAGGCTGACGCAATATGAGGATTTAAACATTGAACTGCAAAGACTGGCACAAACCAGTCAAGGCGGTCCCAGTGGTGATCAGCATACTGGGTGCAGTGCCTAAAGACCTTGGCCTGCACTTAAACACAATCGGTGCTGACAGGATTACCATCAGGTTGCAAAAGGCCACCTTAACTGGGATCTGCACGCATTATTCACCGATATATCACACAGTCCTAGACACTTGGGAAGTGTCCAACGTGTGATCCAATACAACAGCCAGCAGAGTGATCTTGTTTGCTGTAGACTCATCTTGTGTTTCTATTATTATTATTATTATTATTATTATTTATAACTCACCCTCTCTTCCTGAAGGCTTATCTGTCTTGATATTCTGGATTATAAGTCTGTGTGGAAAGGCCCTTCCTTTTCTGATTATTTATTTTATTTATCCTGTCGGAAGTGAATTGAGAATCCAGCTATGATGTATAGAAAAACCACAAAGTTAAAAACTTGGTGTTCTATTAAATGTCCTTTGACCAGAAGCTGGCCTCTTGGACTGTCCCTGGCGTCGCTGTGCATGTGGCAGGGCTCAGGCTGCATTGTAGTAGGTGGTCTGTGGTTTGCTCTTCTCCACACTTGCATCTCGTGGACTCCACATAGTGGCCCCCTTTCTTGAGGTTGACCCTGCATCTCATCGTGCCAGAGCACAGTCTGTTCAGCACCTTCCAAATCACTCAGTCTTCTGTGTGCCCAGGAGGGAGTTTTGCATTTGGTCTCAGCCACTAATTGAGATTCCGGGTTTTAGCCTGCCACTTTTGGACTCTTACTTGCTGAGGTGTTCCTGTGAGTATCTCTGTAGACCTTAGAAAGCTATTTCTTGATTTAAGGCATTAGCATGCTGACTGATATCCAAACAGAGGTTGGGCTGGAGATGTCAATGCCTTGATCCTTTCATTATTGGCTGCTACTTCCCAACAGATGTCAGGTGGTGTGATACTGGCTAAACGGTATAATTTATCCAATGGTGTAGGGCAGTGGTTCTCAACTTTCCTCATGCTGTTACCCCCCAATACAATTCTGCATGTTGTGGTGACCCCCAACCATAAAATTATTTTCCTTCCTACTTCATAAGTGGCATTTTGCTACTGTTATCAATCGTAATGTAACTATCTGATATGCAGGATGTGTTTTCATTAACTGGACCAAATTTGGCACAAATATCCAATATGCCTCAATTTGAATACTGGTGGAGTTTGGGGAAAATAGACCTTGATATTTTGGGAGTTGCAGTTGCTGGGATTTATAGTTCACCTGCAATCAAAGAGCATTCTGAACCCCACCAACAATAGAATTGAGGCAAACTTCCCACATAGAACCCCCATGACCAACAGAAAATACAGTTTTCTGATGGTCTTCAGTAACCCCTCTGACACTCTCTCGTGACCCCTCCAGGGGTCCCAACCCCCAGGTTGAAAACCACTTGTGTAGGGCATAGATATCCTGTGACAACACATCATGTCTCATTAAGAGCCACATCCACTGTTTTAACGTGATGAGATGTATTCCATACTGGACATGCATATTCAGCAGAAGAGTAGCAGAGCGCAAGGGCAGATGTCTTCACTGTGTCTGGTTGTGATCCCCAGGTTGTTCCAGTCAGCTTTAATGGAATATTGTTTCTAGCACCCACTTTTTGCTTGATATTCAGGCAGTGCTTCTTGTAGGTCAGAGCATGGTCCAGAGTAACTCCCAGGTATTTGAGTGTGCTGCAATGCTCCAGTGGGATTCCTTCCTCAGAGCTTGAGATGCTTGTCTGTTCTTAAGGTGCAAAGCACATGTCTGTGTTTTAGATGGATTAGGAATCAACTGTAATAGGCAGTAAGAACACATAAAGCTTCAGAGAGCTTAGGTTCAACCATTACAAAGCTCCCTGCTTGAGCAGTGATGGCATGGTCATCAGCATAGATGAAACTCTCTGTCCCTTCTGACAGTGGCTGGTCATTTGTGTAAATGTTAAACATTGATGGAGCAAGCACGCTTCTCTGAGGCAGTTATGATGATGATGATAACAGTACTACAGTTGTGCTGACCCCTAGTCCCTGCCTGCACACAGATCACTAAGGAGGAGCCCTTTAATTCAAAGGAAGCAGAAGGAAGCAGTGTCCCTCCCCCTAAACAAGCTCAAAAAGAGGAGGCACTCCTTCAAGGAAAAGGGAATGCCACCCCCCCCCCAAGTTGTATCCTTCAAAAGACACACCACCAGGAGGCATTTTTACAAGAGGACAAGAAGTCCCTCGCAGTTTCAAACAGAAGTTGCTGCTTGCCCTTAAGAACTCCCCCCTTTTCCGTTATTTTATTGCAAAAGAAAGATGTTTCCTGAAATCTGAAGGGATTTTTTTCAGGCAGCTTAACTGCCATAACTTCCGCAGATGACTAGGAACGCATACTCCATCCCAGCAGCTTTGTAAAATACAGCTGCATTTGATATAGGCGACTACCGCATTGAGTCGCCTAATCTAGGCTGAAAAATGCGGTATACAAATAAAGCAAATAAATAAATATAGCAACACAAAACAAATCTGTGTTGGCATCTACGCTGTCTGTCAGATGAATGCAGTTTGATTCCACTTTAACTGCCCTGGCTCAATGCTATGGAGTCATGGAAGTTGTAGTATTACGAGGTCTTACAAATCCTAGGATTCCATAGCATTGAGCCCTGGCAATTAAAATGGTTTCAAAGTGCATGAATACTACAGTGCAGATGCAGTCATATATTGTAGGGGAAAATAACATTGGTTCAGGAGATAAGGACTGACCAGTGAAATCCAGTTTTATTTATTACTGTATTTATACCCTGCCCTTCTCACCCCAAAGAGGACTCAGAGTGGCTTACAAGTAGACAACAATTTGATGCCGCATAAACAACAATGTGCATAAAAAATCTACGTTAAAAACCAAAAAGTTAAAAACATCTAAACATTTATTTATCTATTTTGTATCAAAAGCATTGCATACATTAGTATAAAACTGATAAAAATAGACGGAGCACAAGCGGCTAAATATTTTTTGACCAAAAACGGGCAACAGCGACTGTATTGTCTGTAACCTCAAACAATTCTTCCTCTGTGCATGAGGCAATACATTGTGGACAAGTCTGTTCTGCTCCACAGTCACACTAAGTGGAGAATTCTTTTAGGTTTCTCTAGCCTAGTGGTTCTCAACCTTCCTAATGCCCGACCTCTTAACACTGTTCCTGATGTTGTGGTGACCCCCTAACCATAACATTATTTTCGTTGCTACTTTGTAACTGTAATTTTGCTACTGTTATGAATCGTAATGTAAACATCTGATATGCAAGATGTATTTTCATTCACTGGACCAAATTTGGCATAAATACCCAATATGCCCAAATTTGAATACTGGTGGGGTTGATTTTGTCATTTGGGAGTTTTATAGTTTGCCTACAATCAAAGAGCATTCTGAACTCCACCAATGATGGAATTGAACCAAACTTGGCACACAGAACTCACATGACCAACAGAAAATACTGGAAGAGTTTGGTGGGCATTGACCTTGAGTGTTGGAGTTGTAGTTCACCTACATTCAGAGTGCACTGTGGACACAAACAATGATGGATATGGATACTCAATATGTGAACACCAAATGTGAACACTGGTGGTGTTTGGGGAAAATAGACATTGACATTTGGGAGTTGTAGTTGCTGGAATTTATAGTTCACTTATAATCAAAGAGCATTCTGTACCCCACCAATGATAGAACTGCCCCCAACTTCTCATACAAAATCCCCATGACCAACATGGGAGTCTTTGGCAACCCCTCTGACACCCCCTCGCACCCTCCCCCAGGGGTCCCGACCCCCCAGGTTGAGAAAGGCTGTTTTAGGTAGTGCCATTTTGCCAGATTGTCTTTTGATCTGTCCACTCCACTTCTGAGTCTATTCAGGGACTTCCAAGTTATCTAAACATTAAATCAATAGTTAAAACCACACAATCCGAAATCATAGTTTTCAACAGATATGGATGAAAATAAGCAAAATAAATGCAGAAAAGGGGAAGGATTTCTGTTTCATTTCTTACTTGTGGGTTGGAATCTAATATAGTGTATCAACAACACATTTTTAGAATAAGAACAATACAAAACGTAAAGAGATGCACTAATGTGCCGAGATCTTCAGCAGAGCTGTTGGTGAAAGTTAATAACTAAAACGAATGAAAGGAACACCTGT